AATGAGACATCAGAATAATTTTGCTGTACTTTAAAGCTGTGCAAAGACCTGGATTCCAAGGGCAAAATGTAAAATTCAAAGTGAACATAGGCACATATACAGCACCAATTGAGAACATTTTAAACCAATCATGTTTCCCTGGAAGAATTATTAAGAAGAGGATTCCAATAAATGTTGCATAGATGCCCACAAATTTTGCTCTTTGACTCTAGATCTATGCACAACCCTATTGTATGACAGCATGCTTCTTCAGCTGTTTCTCATGGAAGTCTTTCAGAGGAAAAGAAAAAGGCCCAAAATAACTTACGTTTACATAATTTTGCATTTGGAGAGAAAAAGGCTAACATTACAAATGTGTTCCTGTGAGGCAAGCAACCAAAGACATGCAGCCTTAATTCGTAAAAAAGTATGATCAACTTCTCCCTTACTATCTCAGCATAGCCAAACAAATTGGCAAGTGTGTAACTCCAAAGTATAACATTCTGACAAAAAAAAAAGGAATATTTTAGCATTTCAAACTAGAGATACAATTTGCTGGTTAATTCTTTTAAAATGTTAGTTTGAACTCCAAATGCATCTCAGATGCAATGAAAGAGATTCGTTTCATTTCACTATTATGTTCCATCGAGTCAAAAGATTACTCATATTTATAAATTGTTTAAATTCCGAAGGATGTTTTTTTGTTCCAACATTTCCGAAAAGCAGGAACAAAAGCATAAAATAAAAAGGCAGTTCAAAGAAATATGTAAAAGTCAGTGAAGCATTTCTCAAACATTATAGGCTAAAGCTTGAAAAAAAAGTAATTTAATAAAAACAGCAAAATATGATTGAAAACTAAAAATATTGACAATGAAGAAAAATATAATAAATAAATAGCTTAGAGCAAGAAGCTTGTTCAGAAACAGAATATAAAATCAAATATATATACATTTTTTTCCTAAAGGAAAATAAACCCAAGAGTATAACATATATCTATATATGTGTCTTTACAATGTGTGTCTATACAAGCAGATATACACCACATTTATTTTATACACATATAATAATTATTCTTTAAAATCTCTAGAGATTCATATTTCTTGACTTGTGGAAAGCTGACCCTACAATTAGAACAAAACTGTCCTGATTTTGTCAAAGAATAAGTTCAGTGGAACAAAAATAACTTAAAATGGCCAGACAGAATAGTTTGTATGATACACGTAGAGCTGGAAAGTACTATAGAGAAGAAAATGTCAAGACATTTTAAAAATCTTCAAACAAGGGAAAAAAACCGCCACCAAGGTCATATTTGTACAGGATAAATTTTTGCATTTTTCGTATAAATTATGCACATGTTGGTAACTCACGTTAACTAAAGCATGCCTTGTATTTAAAACCTATACCTGCATTCAGAATAATTATAAGATGTACTAAAGGAACTTTAGGCTGTACTCCCACATGCATATGCCAGAAGTCCTGAACCTTTCATTTGGAATAGTATGTAAATAGTATGTAAATACTAATAATAGGGACAATGAATGTTAAGGGCATTTTCACAAAATGATAGTTCATAGTGGATGTAGCCAATCACACAACACTCACAGAAGATGAAATAAATATTGGTTTGTGGCCATGTGCCATTTTATGCAACACTTATAGATACCGCTGAAAATACAGTTTACATTGACTCTGATATGCACTTTTCATTCATTATTTTCAATTTAAAAAATCTAAACAGATAGATGATCCCTATGCTATGTTGGGGACCACGTGCATAGGACTAAATCCCATCAACAGAAGGAATTTTAGGAGTTCCGGTGGCGTTCTGTTCGATGATGGATCAGAGACTGCGATTGTGCACTGCTTTGATCTGTGCTTACCCTGTTGGAGGGGTCCTTAAAGGACCGGATCCATCTAACCCACCTCATAGGAGTGGGGGGAAGAGGGGGAGACTGCCAGCTGGGTCGAGGGGAGCCACATCTCCCCTCCCTGGCTTGGCAAACTCCCCTAGAAGAGAGGGAGAAGCGGCAGTCTTTAATGGCTGCCCTGAAGACGGGAAGCTGCTGGGAGACAAGTTTTGTGCTGGAGAGTGAAAGTGGTGGGCGGTGTGGAACTGGATAAAAGACTTTGAACATTCTTTTTGAAAACCCTGAAAAAGTGGAAAGAAGGAGCCCTCGTTTGGAAGAGTGGTTGCGGCGAATGAGAAATAAGAGGAAAGTATAAGGTAAAGAAAAATCAGAAATAAAAGAATTATATGTAATTAGAAAGTAAATTTGGAATAACATACAGAATTGGACATTAATCAGGCATTGGATAAAATGCTGGACTTATTTGGAATTGATTAAACCTACTATTAATATTATGGAAAAGTGAATTAAAAATAAAAGAATTCTAAGCAAGTGATATAGAGCACCACCTAAGGGTTAAAGATTGCCTTCTTTTATGTTTCTATGGAAAATTACTGGTTGTACATAACAAGATCCCTGGAAGCTTTATAAAAAAGAAGAGGGGGTTACAGTTAAAACAGAGACTTTTGACAAGGACTATAACAGAAAAAAATTGACTTTTAATAAAATAAATAACTTAATAGACCAAAGAAATGGAAGAAATAAGCAAAGAATTTAAGTTGAAGCTCCAAACTGTGAGAAAGATGTTTAAAGAATGAGATTGGTGGAGTTAATGCTGAGTAAAGTAACAGCATTACAGCTTGCGGAAGAACAAAGGTAGCGGAGAGAGGACAAATTAAAAGAGGAAAATAACAGCCTTGACGAGCATGAAGAACAAAAGGACCATTGTCAAAGGACATAAAAGGACTTAAAACAGAGACATAGACATTAGAGACAATAAATAAAAGAGATAAGACACTTAAGACTAAAAAGAAGAATATATAAGAAACCCCAAAAAAGATAATTGAAAAGGGGGTGGGCTGACATGGCTGACAGGCAGTGGGAAATAAAAATAAAACTAGAAGGAAAAAAAGAAGACCGGGGAAACTTAGAAAAGAGAAACAGCCAAAATTAAAAGGAATGATAAAGTTTCGAGATTTAGAGATAAGGGTTAGGGATTGTATAAGGGGGATACCGCATGGGAATGTATATTGGCATTCAGTTTAAAACTTGTTGGAAATTATTTTAGGATTATATAACTATATATATAACTAGATATGAATTATGCTGTTGTGAACCTCTTACAGTGAAGGATTAAAACAGGAATGGAAATGTATTAAAACAGATAAATTTTGGATAAATTTTACTGATTTCAGGGGGGGGATATCTTAAAATATATATGTTTTAAATATACAGTTGATTATTTAATGTGTTTAAAGTTGAATAATGAATTATTAAATTAGATTGAGGGGATATACCATGTGGATCCTAAATATATTGGTTTTTTTTTTAGATTGTTTATTATATAATTGGCTTAGGGAAAATTAAGGATAATAATGATGTGTAATGTTAAATAAAATAGGTGGTAAGCTGAAAATGGAAATAATAGGGGATAAAGAACTGGGAATCTATATTTGGATGAAATGATATTGAATTAATGAATTGAAATATGAAATGGAAATTTATTTAAAGAAGAGTGAAATGGATAATGAGATGAGATGACATCATATAAGATTGGTGGAAATGAAAGTATGATTATGTACAAGTGTTATAATCTGGAACCATGTTGCCCAGGCAAAGAGATGTGTAAAAATTAAAAAATTAAAAACTTTTTGGGGAAAAAAACCAGTAGGAATTTTGCTTGCAATTAATTTTTCAAGTAGAAAGTCAGGTGTAAATACAGTAAATGCTTAGGAAGCAAAGACACCTTTTGTTAATCCTATTTATTTTGATCAAAGTTCTTGAGTTGCTTGGAGTAGCAAGCCTGCTAATGTGCCAAATTCCACTTCACAAGTTGAAACTTAATATTTTCAATATTTATAAAGACTTGACTCAACTGAAAATAATGTTCTGAGACAATAATGTTCAGCAGAGACTTCTAGTATGGACTGCATTTCAGAACAACATGTTGAATCAACATAATATGACAGAAGCTGGTATCCTAAGTACTAGGATCAATAGAAAATGGTTACTTCAAAATTGATAGTTTGTGGACAGGATGCTAATGGTTAAATCACTTCACAATAAAAAATCAGTAACTTTCTTGTAGTATTTCCATCAGTACAAAAATGTTACTAAACAGGTGCAGATATTTCCATTTATATTTATGAGACAAAATAGATGAAAGTGCCACTTCCTTCTCTGGTGTGTGTCTCCACCAAAGAAATTCTGGGAACAGGCATGTAGTTACTCCTTTTAGCAAGTCTATTCACACTATCTTTTGGAAGAAAATGATTCTGAATTAAAATATGTATGTATTGCACATATACACTGCTATCTCAAATTTTATGGTCACCATCCTTTCAAAATATTTTTTATTACTACATGTAGTTAATACATCCAGACTCAGCTCCTACCAGAAGCCAGAAAAAACTTTGGCATGTTAACCAACTATATTTTTAATATTATATCACCACAATCATTATACAGTCATTTTAGGCAGAAAATTATTTTTCTTGATTTTCTTGGCAGCACATTTTAAGGACACTACAAATAAGTGAAACTAAAATCATATTTTCCAGTTTATTGATAAAGCTTTCTCAAAGTTTCTTCTCTCCTTTTTTAGTTCTTTAAATATGAATGTCAAGGAAATGAAGACAAATGTAAAACAAATTTCTTTAAATGAATATAATACATGTTCACTTGAATATATCTACATTTATATGTTTGCAGGACAAAAAGGTAGATGTCATAGCTTTTTGACATTACCTGTAAAATTTAATATTTTTACAAAGACTATTATTAAAGAAAATGCAGTATAATTTTTTTCCTTAAGAGAAGCAAAAAATTTCTTCCTCTATTTTCAGAATTGAACAAGTGTCTATTATATATGCATCTATATTGAGTTTTTAGCCACATATTTTAAATAGAAAGCTTTTATAGATTGGAATCATACTTTAATTAAGCTAGTGTTACCTGGGTGATAATCCTCCATGAGAACAATTGGTAGGTGAAGTTAAGGGGCTGGTTCTGCTGCTAGGATGACGTGAAGGGGTTCGGCCAACAGTATTACTAGGGGAACCCTAATACACAAAAAAGAGAAGAAATGACATAATGTAACATACATTACAGGGAAAAGTAAAATAAAATATGGGAACTTTACTAACTGACTATTAACCAAGTATCAATTGCTTCCTAGCTTTCAAATTATTCAATAAGAATTTTCTAGAGTTGGAAGTTGCCCACTATTGCCTTCTTATATTATAAGGTAAATAAGACAAGATGCTTATCAATATTCACATTATCGATCTGACAGAAGCAAAAGGGTTACTATAGGGAGGCCTGAATTTCCCCCACTTCCTTTCTTCACATTGAAGCCTTAGCAATATTTTAGAATGAAAGGCTTTGGGACTTCTTGAAATCTCATATTTTCAAGAAACACTGCAAAGTAAGAGGTCTTGGTTGGATATGTTAGCTGTTTGTCTATAAGTGTATTAAGAGCGCTCAGGGTTCAGTAGGGTAGGTGAAAGTGAGATCTCCCTTTTCCTTCTTCCATGCAGCCTGATGTATATTCTATTCTTCCCAGCTGCAGCTTCAAAAGTGAGAGCACTTCAGTGGCAGCAACATTTTTGGATTTTCTGGTTTGGATTTCTTCTAAATATTTTGTATATTGGTTCCCAATGCTCCACCCCTTCCTGGTTATCCTCAGGAGAGCAAAAGATGATACATGCATCATGACATCACATACTATCACCATATCTAACTGCATCAGATACAAACACAGAAAGTTTGTACTAATGGCATCACTGAATATGTCATCATTTTGGCATCACCATAGTGTGCTGCAGACATTATTGAACCACATCCCTGGAAACAGGGTATTTTATTTTTTTATTCCCCACCTTTATTATTTTTACAGATAACTCAAGGCAGTGAACATATCCAGCACATTTTCCTCCTCCTATATTAGCCACTAAAGTGCCTATCTGAGCTTAATAAACAAATCATATTTTCTTAACTTTAAGACACTGGATCTCTACTTTCTGATCTTTCCTTTTCCCTCTTCTTTTGCCAAGACCCACACTTAGCACCATGGAATCTTAACTAATATGCAGATAAAGCAAACAATGCAGGCTAGTGGCATGATTATTTTAAAGCATAATTTCTTGAAAGTCTTCAAAACAGTCAAAAACCTTTACAATTGCAGCAAAAATATGCCCCTAGAATTTGGCAGGATAATGAGAGTCCAAGGTTATGTGAACCTTATGGGTACAATATTGCACACAATCCACTACATTCAAGGCAATGCCAAGTTTCATATAAAAGTACAGGATTCTTGAACTTAGAGCGGAGGATTAAAAAAAGACATACATCCTTCGGATTCATTCAGAATAATGGCACCTCTTTTATTAAATGCTGTATCTCTTCTACTCTGTAAAGCCAGAACTGCAGATTTGTATGACTCTGCCAAAATTAACTGGTAATCCAGACATTACCGTCTTTAGAAATGTTTGTTTTTGCTGTTTATTTCTTACAGAAAAAAATTGTTATCTTACCACACTAGTATTGCTGGAGTTCTTAAGGTGGTTATGTAATAGTCTGGTAGCACCATCCTGGAATGTTTTTGGCAAGGCACCAAGTAACATGGTAAACTCAGGAGTGTTCAGTTCAAACAGAGAGATCAGGACTATTTGTGCTGCCTAGGAAGTAAAAAGAAGAAGAAAGTCAGAATCACAGCGGTTTTTTAAAAAAAGTTGTTAAATGTTACTGGGACGTATCACAATATCCAGATTGTAGTTAAGTATATTCATCATACCCGTAACATCACACATTCCAAATACACAACAGGGAAGTGCTGCTGAAATCAATCAATCAATACAGTAAAAAAAAGAAAAGAAACAAAGCTCACATCTAATGAAATGTCCCGTTGCATTTTCTGTAAAGTGCAAATTAAGAATACAAACCTACATATGAGTCCAACATAAAGTACATATAATTCACTGTTCTGTATCAAATAAGTACAAGTTCAAAGTTTTTTTTATTAAAATATAAAAACACACTGTGCTAAAACAGCTTTGAAAATTAAATTACCCTGTTAACAAACTGAGTCCAGACTTCCACATTATATACTTCATACTTCAACAGAACTGGTGATACATGATTCATTAATAATGTGCATTCATTCATGAACTTAAATAACTGATCTCAACTATTCAATAAGTCAATTAACTGTTATAAATCCATTAGCTATTCCAGTACAAGCTAGTACCTGCAGAAAATGCCCTCCCCCATATATATGTATGTGTGTGTGTCCATCTATTCCTATTTTTCTACCTATTTTTAAAGTGAGACTAGAACTCAGTCTCCTGATTTCTAGTCTGGTAACTTAATCACTATACCAAACTGGCTCTTAATAAACTTATAGTGTTGCATTATTAACTTATAATTTCAAATATTAAGCCGCAGTTGTAATTTTTGTCTTTCTATATGTATATTTTTCAGTTGATAACATTTGCCTAATAATAAACTCTGGCAGGATAAGAAAAAGTCACTAAGAAAAAGTATGACTAAGTTTCATTCAGTTTCTGTGTGCTTTCTTGTAATGTTTGCCTTGGAAAAAAAAATTCATTATGACTTGTTAGAGGCTAAAGAGGTTGTGTGAGGTTTAATCTATCAATTATGACTGAAATTCAGTCTTTGATCTATTATCCTTTCCATTAGAATAAGCACTGTTCCTTCAAAATTAAATATTGTTAAGTGAAGAACATTATACAGTTCCAGCTGGCCTCTCCTTCTTCCTTAAATCAGTATACTTCTAACTAGATGGGAAATCTCTTTGCAGTAGAACTCAGAAAGTGAAAAATAAGCCACATATTGTCGTACTCATCCTGCCCTACAGAAATGTGGGAACATTCATTAAAAGAACATTCTTTGAACAGAAAATATTATTTCAAGTCAAGTCCAAGAAAAGAACGGATAACAAAATGAAGAAAAATAGCTATATGAACAATCAGAAAAATCATGCAGATTCGAGCATGGGAATTTTAGTTTAGTTAGGGACTTTTACATGCAAGTCAGTACAGCAACCAAGCAAAAGATCCAATTCTGTGTATATAGTTCTATTTTGTACCTTCCCAAATCAAGCTGGTTCAATTTGGGCTACAGTGCATCCATAGTTCCTTTATACTTTTTATACTATCCTTTGTACTTTTTCAGCTGACTTATTGGTTCTTAAACTGATTCTGCCAGTTGCTGTTACACTTTTGTTTCCCTTAGAAATTTTCCCTCAGAAATAACATCTATTAAAATCCAAAAAGTTATCAACAAAAGAGGTGACTGTAAATGACATTCTACAAATGCCAAAGTAAAAGGGTGTATAAGCACTTTGGCAAAACCCAAGTTGTCATTGTGTATAAATAAAGGTCCACTGCCTTTGTGTCCTGTAACAGAGAAAAGCTGTGTTAGGCAAGGACAGGCATGTTGCATGTTAATAGACCAGCAGGCATGCAATATTAAATTGCTTTCAGCCGTTTTCCATCCACTTTGAGATGTGAACTCATAAAAGACTGCAACTAGCTGCAGATACCTCAGATACCTCATTTAATGTAATTCAAACCAGAGTGAAAGAAACACATGTGAGGTTAACACACACCACTCCATTTTTTAAAGAAAATCCTTCCCCATCCTTTTTCCCCACAAATCTAAACTTGATTAGAATTTTGGATTGCAAACACAGACTAATATCTTATGATTAGTGTATGCTACTTTTAGTCTACCTGTTTACACTTTTCTTCCAAGTTTCCTTCACCAGGACCTGACGAGGCTGCTGCTGGTTTAGCTGGCATATCCTCACCTACCCAACTATGCATGGTCTGAGTTCAACAAATAGGAAATGGAATATTATTTATTAGAACCAAGCACAAGATTTTCACTGACCGTTGCAGAAACGTTTATAATGTTTAGTTTCTTGCAGAAGTTGCACTTATAAAGCAGAGATGCTCTTTCAACATGGAACTAATGTCACAAAAATGAAAGTGGATGGCCATTGTTAAGATTTGTACCTTTTATTTTTTCCCGACCTGTACTTTAATGTCATTTACAATTTGTAGATGTAAATTTTTACAATTCCTCTGTTACTCATACAGCATTCAACAGCTGTAACGTTATTTTTAGTTATTTATTTTCTTACTCAGCCTTTTTGAAAACAGATAAGCAAAACTTACAACCTGAGGCCAGCCAGTTCTACCTCCAACATTATACTTATGACACAAGTGCAACTGTGTCTAAGTCAGGGATGTCAAACTTATGACCAGTGGGCCAGATGAGTCACGTGCTGGCCAGGCCCAACCCCGGGTTTAGCGAAGGGGAAAAACGTTGTGATATGTCACGTGATGACAACATGATGACACAAGTTTGACACCCCTGGTCTAAGTGAACCATCAGAAGTTGGTCTCATCTTTTTGCTATCACGTGCTTCTAAGCAGATATGTGCATACGGTTAAAGCCTGATGCAGTCAAGTAACAGCAAATCTACAAAGCAGCAAATTAGGAAGCCTTTCACTGCAATAGCACTAACAATGATGCATTGTTCGCGAAAGTAATTTTTTTTGGTCTCCTTACTGTTGAGCAACATTCAACCTATTTTTGTAAACTATACTGTGAGAAATTAAAAATGGTTTTTAAAATGACGATTGACGTGTGAACAAAGATTAAAATTCTAGGTGATATTGGCATGTTAAAATACTGATGAGAATGTTTTAATTTTGGTGGTGATGATGATAGTGTTTTAAAAGTGGGCTCTTAACAGTCATCAACACAGTAGGCATTTGCTTACCTAACAATGAGGAAAACACCTAACTGTTTTATTTAAAAGATGTCATTATACTGTTTTTCTCTGTAAAAAGCACTGGAAGTTGCTTTCGACAGAACTTATTCTGGAACCTGGAATAAAGGTTTGGAAAAAAGATCTTTTCCCATGTTAACTAACTTTTCCCATCGTCTCTATCAATACGGTGGGACAGAATTAGCCTCTATCCTGATTTACTGTGTATAGTAAAGATTTTCTCTGACTATCATCACTATCATGAAGGACCCAATAAACCCAGTAGTGGTGGACAGCATGCAGCTCACAGGTCATACTTTTTGCCCTCCAGCATTAGATGAACAATGAATAATTTCTTATTATTTTTTTTTCATATTGTTAATGCTTACATAAATTTCTATATTTTTACCTTGAAAAAAAAAGAAATCATACAAATCTTTTTACATATGTCCTCTTGTTGATTGCTTGAGGTAATTCTAGTCTATCTCCAGATCTAAACTGTCTTTAAATAATAATAGGATTGTTCAAGTAATCTGGCTAAGAAATAGCTTTATAAAATATGGTCACAAGACATCTATATCAGCAATATCCACTCCAAGAATCATTGTATGTATCCTTCGGCATCATGATTAGCATAAAGAAAATTTGTAGAAAAGAAGGAATAAAAGAAGAGCGCATAAACCCCAATGTTAATTATTTCTCTCTTTTTTTGTGCACTGAACCCATTAGTGATATTGTTACATTGAAGAAGTATCGAACGCCTTATTGTCTATTTAATGATGCTTTGTTTCACGGTAAACAATTGTTAATGTTATGGTTTTACTCTCAACAAATTCAATGCAGTAGTTCTCATTCCAAAATGGTTATTTAGAAAGCTATATAATTAATCCTCTGCCATTTAATCATTATACGCCTTATCTTTTGGCAAGATTCATTTCATTTCTACCAATTTTTCTGATCAGTTTCATCTTTCAATTTCAATGGGCTTCCTATGATCTGTCTTCTCCTCTTCAACATCACAAGTTCATATTTCCTTCTGCATAGTTTAATCTTACTCTAAAAATCTGTAGAGATTCTCAGTTATCCAGGTCGTAGTTGTCCCAAAGGTGCTTTTTCAGGAGGCAACTGGACTTTTTTGTTTTTTCTTTTCCTTTGAAGATGTTTCACTTCTTATCCAAGAAGCTTCTTCAGCTCCGACAGAACGGTGGGGAATAGAAGGATTTATATTTCTTGAAGACAGCTGGTCATTTGCATCCTTTTAGAGAATTGTTGACTTACTCTAAAAAGTTTCCAAGGTGATGTTCTTTTGGGCATGCATGACAAGATGGCTCCTCACAGCACAGCTGGGAACCTCACGGACCACATTAACATGAATGTTGATGGAAAGAAAGCAAATTTGAAACTTGATACCAGTATTATTAACTTTTCCTCACAGAGGAAGTAGTAAGTAAATGGAAAAACTGACTGAGAAACTCACCGGTAATTGATTCCTCTACTTCTCACTGTGTATGTGTATATATGATTTTGGAAGATTTGCTCTGATGAGGTACATGCTTTGCTTCACAGAGATTTATTGTAGTCTCAGCACTGTGAATCATCTCACAGTCATTCAGTTCTCTACTTCGGAACTGAGGCAGGTCAATTTGCAGAAACTATTGTTACCAAATAAAATGATGGCACAAGGGCTGCACTGAATAGAACTAGAGTGATGCAGTACTACATGGTTTTAGTAAAAGTGCTATGAGGGGCACTGTCATATCTGCACAGGGTTACTACCACCCCTTCCACAGAATTCTTACCTTGTTATATTAGGAAAAGTTTTTCTTGATCTACAAAACGTTTTATTTATTTATTTAAGCCACTTGTTGGAATTCGTGGCCAGCGAATCCTCTCCATCCTACTACTGCTCATCTGAAACCTTGCTTTCTACATGTTCTAGTAAAGTGTGTGGATGGGAAAGATATATAAAGATGCATTTGAATGCATACATGGATAGACATGAAAGAAATTTCCTTTTTGTGTGTGCTTGAAATACCCTTTCTTGAAAGAATGATATGCATTTCTACTTTCATGAGAGCATCTGCATGCACACTTGGAATACACGCAAAATTTCAGAGAATAAAAGAATATCTTTCAATTGTGACTATGATAGAGAGAAGAGCAAAAGAAACAAGGTGTGCTTTGTCCAGGTTTTATTTTCAGCCAAAACATAATTTGACTCCTAATTATTTTTCTGAACTAGGCTTTTGCCCACAAAAGTTATCCATCTCTAATCTTATTTCAGAGAATGAATCTTCCCTGAACTGAGTTCTACTCAAATACTTTCACCAACTGAAAGTTTCACTCTGCATTCTTTAGCATGCCCTTCCACACTATGTGAAAATTTACTCAATGCTCCCCCCCCAAAAGGGAAAAGGAATGACAAAGAAGACTGCAGAGAGGGAATCTATGCAAATTATTACACTAATGTAATTGAAATATTTGTTGGAGCAAATGGCTTCTACCAAAGAAAGGAATATTTTCATCCAGCACATTTTGAATCCCACTGAATGAATTTATCGCTCTGATATAATTTATTTTTTTTAACAAATTTACAAAAGTTCCACCAATTATTGCCTCCCATTGCTTTGACTCACCTTTCTTACATCTGAGCTCTTTGGTTCTGTTGTCCAGGTAATAATCCTAGAAACTGCAAGTTTAGCCTCACTGGAGTTTACAAAATCTGTAGGATCCATTTGTCTAGCCAAGGATTCAATGTATTTTAATATTGCCACTTTTACCTGAAGTGAATAGAATAAGTTTTGTAAATAAAGATAATACAACAAATTTCAAACCTCAAAACCTTTTCTCAAGCCCAATATATTTATGAACAATTGCTTGCTGCAAAAGAGCCATCTCTAGATCTTCCAAAAACCCTTAAAATATAACCAAGGAATAAAAATACATTTGCCCCAGTTATCTATATTTAAACATTTTGCTTGACTTTACTCTCAGACATATTCATTTCCCAATGAAACTGCAAGCACCTTAACCTACCTTAAGGTTTGGTGTTTGGGTCTGATCAACGATAAACCTCATCAAAATATTAAATTGTTGGTCAAACGGAAAAGAATCTCTACAGTGGAAAGGGAAAAGGAAAGAGAGAAAGCATAAGAACAAGTTCCAAGATTTAAATATAACCAGTGTTTTTCTCAGACAGAGAAAAATTAAATATATAACAGCTGCATGCCACAGTCTAAGAAATAAAAATAAATAAATACACGCCTAGTCTTTAGTCAACTTTCTGAATAATTAGGTATCTTCTTAAGCCACAAGGACGACAGATAAAGGATCCAAGCCTCAGTAAACAGAAGCAATCCAAGAGTAGATACTCTGTTTTGAACTTGGTTTACTTCAGACTTTACTTTTATGTATTCTTAGTTAAGCCTAATTTTGATGTGGGATTTAAATGAGGAAATACATTTTTCCCTCAGGATTTCCCTCAGGATAGTTGTATCAGATGCTCACGATTGTGGCTTAACAGATTCAATTTATGAGACATTAAATAATAGCTATTCTATTTGGAGATGGTGAATACTGCAATCCATCGTATCTGCAGAACACTAGGTTTGAGAAAGCTAGTTTGCATTATGTAAAAAAACATGTCAGCAAGTTATCCCCAGTTACTTGGCAGACACACTACCTTGTTACATCCAGAGCTTTCTGCACTTTGGCCTGCACTGATCCCAGTAGGTCAGCACCCATCTTCTTCAGTAACTGTGTCAGAAGAACAAAGAGCCAGTCCTGCAAATCATCCTTGTGAATAATGATGAAGTCTACCAAGGTTTCAAGAAACATGCTGAAAACCTTTAAGTTAAAAGAGATAACAGGGGAAGTCATGATTCACATCGTGATTTAACACAAAAATGATAAAAACTAAAGGCAAACAAAACCTGCATTAATAGGGAGGATTTTGACATCCATGTTAATATTGTGAAGTACCAGGATGTACTAGATGATTCATATTAAATAGATAAAAAGAAGTGAGATTACATGGTGGGAGTGAGGAGGAAGGAAAATACACTTACTCTCTGTTGTGAATTCCACCGCAAAACAGGCCATGCAACAAAACAAACCATTCATTAGTAAACTGATATAAAAAAAATAAAAGCAAATTGCTTTAAGGCAGTTTCCCTTGCATTCAGATAAATTGCATTCACAGAAAGTTTAAGATAACTTTATGAAAGAATATTTTTATAATAGGCAAGGTCAACTGTTAAGTTCTAGAGGCAATAAATGTTTTTGAAATAATATATCTTCTTACATTTAAAGGGAATGTTCTGCTCTAGATAATATCCTACTTGCATGACTTACTTATGGAATTTAAAAATATATCAGTAATTCACCACACATAACTGCAAAGATTAAATAACTATTTAGCACAAAAATTGAAATATGATTATCATTTCGATTCAATCTTTTATTTATAACCCAACTTCCAACATTTATGGATTGTTCATAAAAGATGAATATATTTAAAAATTTACCTTGCTGTGGGGGTCTGCAAACATACGTGTGAAGATTTCACATAACCTTTTCAACTCCACACGGCTAAACCCAAATAAAAAAACACCCCCAAATAATTGCAGAACATTAGAAATGAGTAAAATGTAGCAACAAAAATTTACATACAAAACCCATGATTTATTTCCGAAGCAGCAAATGGGTACAGAAACTCCATTCTAATCTCAACAGATGAGGCGACTTCAATGTAAGGTCAAGAGACTATACTTTAGGTTTCTAATTTGTAATATAATATAAATCAGGCATGTCCAAACCGCAGCCAGCATCTCCCCCCTACAGCTAGTAATGTGATCATAAATTTTTAACATTATTGATTTTGCTGTCTTGCCAAAATGTACTTTAATTCAGTGGTCGCCAACCAGTGGGCCCTGAGAAAATTTTGGTGGGCTGCAGAAAAATCTCATCTCCAGAGCACCCCCCCCCAAAGCAATTAATTCAGGCTGTGCAGAAACACAAGGCTGCACCACCCACATGGCCTGCGGGAACCCTCCCCACCCACTCACTCCTTACCCAGTAAACTTGCCTGCTAAATTGCTATTTTTCCTTTTTCCGACAATCAGCTGTTCTCCTATGCCAGGAGATTTAGATTAGCTAGGAAACAGGAAATGGTTGGATTTCTTGCTTTCTAGTTAGACTTTAGATCTTCGGCTCTGCTTTTAAGCACAACCCAACCTCCCTTAGGACTGAAGGTTATTCAGTGCAGACTCAAGGCAAGCAAATTTTATGTGACAGACTGAGGTAACCGATGGCAGATAGATAGATCACTGAATGATTCTGTGAGCAACTCAATCTGCCTATCTGCTTTGCCTGATTCTGGGTAAAAGTTGCTCTTTTTTTAATAAAAAATCAATATTTACATACATGGTGTGTTGTGAGTTAATTTTGTGAGTTTGATTGCAAGCAAATTTTATGTGACAGACTGAGCTAGCCGATGGCAGATAGATAGATCTCTGAATGAATCTGTGATTCTGTGAGCAACTCAATCTGCCTGCCTGCTTTGCCTGGGGGTAAAAGTTGCTCTTTTTTATAAAAAATTCAATATTTATATAAATATTTATAATATTTTCAAACAAGCCATGCCCAGCCAATCACATGACCACCAAGCTACACCCACAAATTAGGCCACGCCCATATAACCGGTTAGTGGTCCCTGGGATTTAAAATTATGAGTTTGGTGGACCCTGAAGTCCAAAAGGTGGTGACCCCTGCTTTAATTAATGTAAAGAACTGAACTGCCTTGCAGACTAGCCCAAACTCAACCGGTCAGCTTTCATGCCTAAGGTGGGATAAGAACTCACAATCTCCTGGTTTTTAGGTCAGAACCTTACACCAGACACTACACAAAATAAATACCTTTAGTAGCATGAGATCTGTATTCAGCATCTATGTGTGATATGTTTCTGGACCAAAAAAATGGTTATGCAAGACTGCCAACCATATATTGCTCAATTCTGTACAGGTAGTCCTCAACATATGATCACGATTGACCCCTAAATTTATGTTGCTAAATAATAAATTTGTTAAGGGAGTTCTGCCCCATTTTATCACTTTTCTTGCCACATTTGTTAAGTGAATCACTGTGGTTGTTAATTTAGTAACACGATTGCTAAGTGAATCTGGTTTCCCCATTGATTTTGCTAATTGGAAAGTTGCAGAATGTGATTACATGATCCTGAGATGCTCCAACCGTCATAAATGTGAGTCAGTTGTCAAACATGTGAATGTAAATCATGTGACTATGGGGATGCTGCAACGGTCATGTGAAAAATGGTCCTAAGTCCCTTTTTTTCGGTGCTGTTGTAACTTTGAATGGTCACTACATGAAACTGTTGTAGATCGAGGACTACTTGCATTTAATAAAGAGGATAGAATTACAGCATTAAAAAGTATGTTCTAAGTCACTGCTCAACTTTTTCAAAGTCTTCAATTTTCTTGATTTATTCAAGGTAAAAAGAAGATGAAAAGACTCCAAAACACATTCCATATGAACAGCTTTGAATACCTACAATATCCCTATTGCTAAGTAGAAAAGCTATTCTGCAAAGATATTAACTCCAATTGTTCATCATAATTATACGCTGAATTAAAAGAAAAACAATAATGGTTTATAGTAAGAAAAAATACAATCCCATCATTAAAATGCTATCTAAAATACACCTTACAATTAAGATTATTAATATTAAAATATTGATAATTTAGAAGAAACATAAACATTTCATAATTTACGGAACTGTTTTAAAGACTTGATAAAGAACAGGTAAAAAGAATACAAACAATTACTAATTAAACATGCACTCACCTTAATGTCCTCTGGCTCTTCAATAGGTTCTGCAAGCCAATTAACCCCTCTTTCCTTTCAGACCAATTGGAACTAGCACAGTGGTTTAAGACCTCCGCTACATCTTCCGTCTGTCGCAGGTAGTGTGGGATGCCTCCATTGCGGGAACCATAGGACCGCTCTGAGCAAGCACTGGAGGCATCACTGTTTGCATCATCATCAGAATACATCCCATATGGTTCATATCTTCTTCTCACTGGTTTTTTCTGGTCGGAGGAGGGAGGGAATAAATATCGGATTTAGGAGATTTGAATAATTTCACTAAAGTATCTAAAGTAAAGGTGTTTCTTGCTTAATAACCATTCATTCAGGGACCATTTTAAATTATGATAGTGCTCAACAAAGGGACTTACCCAAAGATACAGCCATTGGCCTCACAAGGAAAACTTAAGCTGGGGCAATCTGCCCACTCTAAGCAATAGCACTTAAGACTTATATACTGCTTCACGGTGCTTTACAGTCCTCTCTAAGCGGTTTACAATGTCAGCATACTGCTCCCAACAATCTGGGTCCTCATTTTACCGACCTCAGAAGGATGGAAGGCTGAGTCAAGCTTGAGTCAGTGGGACTCAAACTGCTGGCAGCTGGCAGTCAGCAGAAGTAGCTTGCAGTACTGCATTCTAATCACTGCACCACCATGGCTCTTGGACTGACCACAAGGGTTCCCTATCTCAGCTGCCCACCAGGTTCATCAGTGTGCACAAATCTACTCCAGGCTTAGAGGCTGAACCTTCTTGCCATCCTACTATGCCCAGGAGGCCTCAATTTATTACAGGGATAGCAGCAAATGTAATTTGTCCCACTCACATTTGAGTTTTTCTGCAGTTTCTGACAGGAACATCTAGCCTTCCCAGAGAGATTGTCTCATGCTATTCTGAGAGCAGATGTCAAATTGTGTGATTTGGAGAAGCAACCTTCCAAGCTAATGCGATAACAGCACCAGCTCTGGTGATCATTGAGAAAGCTAGAAAGAGGCTCTTTCTAGCTGTCCAAATAATCATGTTCATTAGCTTTCTAGCCTAGGGTAGAAAGAGAATGGCGCTAGCTCATGTGACTGTGCAGAAGACTAAAAAGAGCCTCTTTATAGTCTTTCCAACAGAAGTGTTCGCTAGCACGATCCTTTGGGAGGCCAGAGTGAGACTCTTTCTAGCCTTCTGAATGATTGTGAGAGCTGATGCTTGCTTGCAGAATGGCACGAGGTGGCATCTGTAGAAAGGCTGCATGTCACATTGGCTGGGTGCATCTATCAGTAGTGCAGAAAAATGCAAAGGTAAGTAGAGCAATCTATGTGCATTATTGGGGCTTTCCCACTTGTGCAGGCTGGGGAGCAGGCGTTGGCCTCCTGGGTATAGTGGGGCAGGGAGAAAGACTGGGCCTCCCAAGCATTGTGAGGTGTGGAGAAGGCCGAGGCTTCCCAGTCTCCCACAGGTTCTATGCACTAGTGGGCCCTCTAGCTGGCTGGAGGCTTCTGACCCATGGCAAGTCTCCATGCATCAGTTGGGTTTCCAGGGCCCTCGCTAACCTGCTCCCCCCCCCCCCGAAGCATCCCACATCTGCAAATGAAACAATTCAGCTACAATCGTTCTGATCATGTTAAATTGCTGCTCATTCTGAACAAAAATCCAGGTGAGTGCCAGACAAAGATGCCCATGACCTCAAGGCATGTTTTAAATGATGAAGATCTATGCAAATTCTATGCAAAAGAGGTGCATTATAACATGAAAGAGCAGATTTAAAGCCCCTCTTTTCAAATCAGTAAAATAGCTATGTCTTCTTTTTCACAACTGCTTGATAAATTGTTCCCAGCTGTCTTAAATGTATAGCCACATTGTTTCATATTTGCTCCCACCTATTATGTAGCTCTTCTCTTGAAGGCTTTGCATAGTCCTAATGAGAACTTGAACTTGTTGTCTAATATTTTTCCGGAGTTAACATTTCTTCATCACAGAATATAAATTAACCTCCTAAGCCTATTTCTATCCTCCTGTATATTTTCTATATCAGGCATGTCCAACTTGCAGCCCTGGATAGCTACTAACACAGCCTTATATATAATTTGTGTCAGAATTTGTGTTTTCTTGACTTTAGCATACACAGATAAACTAAACAAGTTGAAGGCACCAAAGCTCTGCAGTTTGATAGGATGCAAGGTTTGGACATTAAGGTATCAACATAATTGCAGCCCCATATAATATTGTAACAGGGGAAGCAAAAAAAATGGGAGGGAGGGAGGGAAGAAAAGAAAGAAAGAGGCAGGGAAGAAAAAAAAAGGTCAGGATGGCACTAGTACCTTGCTTCTGGAGTCTCCTAAGAGCTGTATGCAGGAAAATATTGAAGGGTGGGGAAAAAGCATAGAGAATTATGTCAGAAGCTTCTGCAGGCATTTTTTTTTTTGCAACAAAAATACAGCAAATGAGTCTTAGCAAATTAAAAATACAAATTCAGCCAGTTTCTTTTAAGAAATATAAAATGAGTTCAGACAGAAGCGTCACATTGTGCATTATTCTGTTCTCATCTTCCTACAGCCAGGGACTTCGAAAAATACATGCACACAAGTAATATGCATTCAGAATTCTGGCTTTCCAAAGGCAACATTAACATGCCAGAAATGGGGATGTGTGGCGTACTTAATATTCCTGAGGGTAAAGTCCACAGTGGATAAGGTTAGGTTGGATTTATGTACTGTATATGGGTAACGCTAGGGTTCCCTCCCCCACAAGGTTTTGTGTTTTAGTATGAAGCCTATTTTAGGGCTTGCATCACACCTGCATACGTTTCTGGCCTCAAATCATTCAGAAACTGTCTTGTCAGTTTCCAGCAATTGCAGTGTTTAAATTGATGATTTACTTTCTCAGCTATAGTTTGTACCTGTTTCATATCATGCTGATGTCTATATAGTATTCTCAGGGGGGAAAAACATCTTGACATAGTTATTATTTACATACTAGGTGCCATTTGAGGACAGTTTACTGTAATAGATACCAACTCCCAAGACTAGAAATATTCCCTCTCACCTCCTGGAATTAAACTCCAAGAGCTCTTTTGTCATTAAAGATGATCAAATACGCTATGAGGGTCAAGAGTTCAGTTCTTATAGCTTACTCTATTCTAATACTGAAGGGAATATTCCCTTCATTTCTAAGTTTATCTGGTTTCCCTGTCAATAGGTCTTTCTCTGCAGTGATCTAGGAATAAAAGAATTCTTCCTTAGATTTCTTCCTCACTTGATCTCTTTTTACAGGCACAACAATCAGCCTTGGCCAGGATAGAGAATTTGATCTGAAGGGACTTATTTTACATCTTTTTTTTTAATGGAAATAAAGCTTTTACTGTGAAGCAAAGCATCTTGAATCCAAAGATGGAGAACAAAGGAGAGAAGAGAGAAATATTCCTTTAAGGCTATTACAATATTTATACAGACAAATCGGAAAGAGAACAGATGAAGAAAGTTAAAGGAGTGTTGATGGTGACTGTCAACAACACAGAGCAAAAGAAATTAAATTCTGAAAAGACAGAGATGAACCAATTTTTTATATATCACATTTTAGGAACTTGTGAATTTTTAAGAGTGTTTCTAAAAAAAAAGTAACGAAACACCATTAAGTAATATCCTTATGTGAATTTTTCAACCATAGTTTGTCTCTTTGTAAGTGAAATTAACCAAATATGTTCATCACACTAGTTAAATTTTGATTAAAATAAGGCAAATACTACAAATTAGAATGATGACAGTATCATTTAAATCAGGGTTCCCCAACCCCCGGGCCGCAGCCCACTACTGGGATGTTGCCTATTCACAACTAGGCTGCACGAGTGGTGGACTGGAATGCATATGTACACACCTCAACTTGCACGAGCATCTGGCTGGCATGCATGCACACGCACGCAATTTGTGCAAGTCAAGCTGCACGTGCACACTAACTCGATGCTCACACAAGTCAAGTTGCACATTCACACGCGCACATTGGCTTGCCATTCATATGGCCCTATTCCCCTTCCCCCCTCCACCAATCTACCAAAGTTGGGGGCCACTGACTTAAATAGTTCTGATCAATGAAAGCTAGAACACAAGGGCAAAATGTGTATTCTATATCTCCTTTTGGAACCGCTTAGAGTTGGGTTGCTGAAAATGGACAATTACATTTTCTCCAATTATGAAAAGGAAAACACTGTACTGTAGTGAAATTCTTCAAATAGTCACAATTTTTGCTAAAGGAGGAGTTGTATGCGATTGTATGTATGCTACATTTTGGGGCCAAAAGTTCAGTTCTCTATCCTAAGGTATTTGCTATCATTCAAAATTATATCAAAATTTCTTTTTGTTATTTCAGAAGCAAAAGAAAAAGACTATTGGCCCAGTGGATGGTTTCATACATGGTTATCAGTAGATAGAAAAGAGTCAGGGCAACTTCTTGTTACAGGAGGTAGAATTATAACCTCCCTTCTAAAATCACAGTGCTGAAACGTATCTCAGGAGGATTTTTTTCTTTGAAGTTTATGGCCAAAGGTAAGTTAGATGAGAGCCACATTTACCAACATTAAGGACAACAGGCCTCCATTTCTTCCAGGCTCCATATCCAACTTATCAAAACTCCCCAATCTACCATCTCATTCCCAAAATTCCACATGTAATTTTACGGCAGTTTTGATGAAAAAAAAACCTGGAACTGGAGTTGTTTGGAATATTGCTTCACGTGACTATGAATGGGATCTTTTATTACTACCTAATTTATGCAACGATATTAATCATATATTCCTGGACAACCTTATCTTGTATTTAATAAAATCCTGGGCATCATCCTATAATTAAGATAATTTTATCCAATAAAACCTCATTTTATCAAATCAGAAGCTAAACATTCAGCAGCCAAGTGGCTTCAATTTTAACATTTTATTACTTTTTAGTTATTAGTTTACAAATCATATATCTAAATCTATAGATATATAGATATAGATATAGATAGATATAGATATAGTCTTTATGAATAGTGCTACTAAAATAAAAATAATACAATCCTGGATTCAGTAGAAAAGCAAGGTTTGAATTGTTCCCCCCCCCTCCGCTATAAAACAGCATCAAAAATATGCATGTAGCATGTGCTTCCTAGTAATTTTTAAAAGTCCAGATTCATAGAGAATTTATAGATCATCCAGTGGATGTGAATGCAAGTTTCAACTGCACTATGTTATACGTAGTTAGAGACAATACACACTATTCGTACATTATCTTGTAACTCATAGTTCATAGTGCTAAAAGCCTTCGAAATATTTTCTACCACTCTGAATCTCCAGCATTTGGGAGTAACAGCAAAAAGGCAAAAGTAGCTTTCAGTAAATATGAACTTAACAGCCTATTTCATGGAATTACTTGAAATCAGAGATGCAGTGATGCAATCTGTTATATTTATTTAAAAAAATTGTTTATATATTTTTGCTTTTTAAGTAGACACTTAATTTCAAGAGTACAAGAGAATTTGAAAATATTAAAGTACATAGATTTAATGAAGTTTAAGTCCAGGAACATGTTTTAGTTTACCTTATTTTTTTTACATATGCCTTTGTTACCTTAAACTTTCATATATTTAATAGAATTTCAGAACTGAAAAGGGATGGATGGATGACTGGAATTTTATTCCTTTTACTGCTACGTAACTAAGAATCAGAAATGTGTTTTATTACTGCAAATCATCCAAAGACTAACCAATAGGTGCAGATCAAATCAAATGAAATGTTTATTGTCAATGAAATTGAAATCCATCAATCATTAACAATAATTACTATTAGTTATTGTTAATGGTAATTAAGTGACCCTGATCAGAAACCTCTAGAATTAACGACAGAAGCCTTTGTCAGGGTGACCCATACAAACTTTCCCTAAGGTAGGACAAGGCAATTATTCTCAACAGACATTTCAACTATAAATTTTAACTCTCCAAAATGAACAAATGAATAAAAGCACATTTGTGGGACACGAAGCAAACATGTTGCACATACTAACATAATAATATAAGTAGGATTCACAACTTATACTAGGAAACTATTTGATTCACTTCATAAGATAACTATAGTGGCATTCATAAGCATTTCACACAGATGGTTTCGCTATTATAATCCATTTACTTGAAAAATAATGAATACCAACAGTTAATATTTCCACAAATAAAAGATTAGGATCAGACTGTGAAACTCATCTTCTACATTTCACTGCACTAATATCAACAATTTAACTCTTCCCAATGCAACTATGCATTAAAAACACCTTTCCTCACATCTTCCCAAAACCTTAAAGAAAGATTTAGACAGAGTCACACGTACACATATAGGCTCATTTAATAGGAACACACATAAAAGAAGAGGAAAATGTACGTACAGAAAGCAACTTCAAGCAACTTTCTGGAGTTGGTAACATGTTGTGCTTTCCCTCTTACCAATGCATCTGCCACAGCAGTCTCCAGATCTGTGCTTGTACTCAGAACTCGCATTGCATTCATAGAGGCAGGCAACCTGCCTGGCTGGCCAAGCCCAAACCGTTCTGCACAAAAGACAAGAGTAAAAGCCATCATTACATAAGTTCACAGCCCTTTGGAATATTAATAAGGCCATTGGCTGCTTTAATTGTTATTGGGTCCAAGTTTTAGGAGTTACTATGAGGCTATAATAGAAAGTCAAATTGGTTAGATAAGAGGGACAGGAGGGGGATTATTATTTAAACTCTTTTATAATAATGGTTAAATGTAACTACTTTTACATATTCTCAATTTTTCAGAGGAGGAAGTAAGCACTACGGCAAAGTTCTTCAACTTAGTAAGAAACTTGTAGTAATATATTGTTAATTTCTTAACTTACTTTTAGGTCTTGCAACAGTATTTTTATGAACTGGCTTATTCAAGTCTTAATCCAGTTGCAATTATTCTGATTGTTCTGTATTTGTATACTTGCTGGTTAAATTTTAGTGAAAACAGAACCAAAAATCAAAAGTAAGGCTCAAGCAATTTGTATAGCTGATCAACAAAAAATTAAGTGAATTTAAAAAAAAATCCCATACACTATCCCACTGAATTTGGAAGATGAATAAATCTTCAAAGACCATCGAACAATTTTAAGATTTCCTCCCCCCACAATCTCTTAATATAGAGACAAATAAATGTTATACTTTTTAAAAAAATATTAATATTTTTATCCTATTATAATTGTTTGAGATTTACTAATTTGTGTTTTTAAAATCACTATTTTATTTTCTTAAACCTAAAGATTAAATTATGATTTTTGTAAGTATACTATATGAAAGCATTTCCCAACCTTGGCAACTTTAAGACGTGTTGACTTCAATTCCCAGAGTCCCCTAGCAGTCTGCGCATCCTAACATTGCCAAGATTGGAAAACACTATTATATTGGGGAAGTAATGCAGTATTGGAATAAATGTGCTTTTTTCAATGTACCATCAACAGATTGATTTACCAATAATCTTTTTTAATAGAACTGTCCTGACTGGTGTTGCTTAAACTGTACACAACTGCCATTTTTCCTTCCTCATCAATGGACTCCCAAAGGCTTAAATCATGGAAGATTTTAAAACAGCCATTTCAATGAAGGCGATTAGCTGCATATAACTGGTGTAAAGGGAAATAAGTTTCCCATGCACTTCAAAAGATCTGTTTAATGGTGTCCAATTCATATTGTGGATATAATAATTAGATTATTCCATGTATTGATTGATTTATTTTACTAAGTCCCTTCCATTTGTAGCTCCATTAAACTGGACTTCACTTATAGTATGGTATCCAGCTATGTTAGAGGATGGATGTACAAATTATCATTTGTCGCTACCAGCAAATACACTTTTTAATATTAAGAAATTGTAACTATTTAAAGGGCACTCTAATTAAAAAATAAGATTTGTTTAAGCAGTGTTATGATTTCAACTCTAATGCACAGAAATGGCTTTCAATATCAATTAGGGAAAATGACAACAACAGTCAATATAAAAACCTAGAAACAGAAAAATATCACTGGGAAATATTATTTATAAACCAATTTTAAGCCTTTGTAGACAAAAATTCCATTTATTGTATTTGTTAAGTTTCCACTAAGGGGAATAAGAACAGATCAACATTGTGAACAATTACTGAAGCTAATGTGAAGGAAGCAATATTAAATACGTTTGAGCATTGTGGTAATGCCACTTAATAGAGTTTGATATTTTTCAAATTTTACTAAGATCAGACAGTTTACAACAAGCACATTTTCTAAAACATAAAATACATTACATGCCAAAATTAAATGTCTTTAATGAAAACCTGCTTTGAAAAGGAATTTATGAAGTTTACAGAGAAAGAAAAACTATATGTATTACTATCTCCTTTTTTAATGCATGTAGTTGCTGAAGCAGCACAGATGCTTGTTTCAAACATCAGCTTTGCTCCAAGCAGAAGGATTTGGTGAAATAATGATAATGAACATGAGAATCCAAATGTTTTGCCATGTCATTTTGTTCATTCAGCGTAATATCTTAAGGCCCAGTAAGTATTTGTACATTATGAAAATATATTGCAGTTCTCTATTGAACAAACTGAGCAGGACATTTCAAAGATGCAATCAATCATAGGATAACTCGATTTTTCAGTCCTTTAGTTCCAATCTCAACTGAAATGATATTTCATCCCACTTAGATCTTGCAAAATTATCACTAATAACATTTTTGAAAGGAATGTAAGTATCACTGGATTTCTACCATTTGTGGGGACAAAGTATACATCTACATATTCATCATACATGCACGTATACAAACTGCAATGTTGTTTCATTAAAAACATGTGATCATGTGAGATTGTAGATTTTGCTCACAGACACCAAGTCAGTGTTAATACTGTATCAAGAATCTAGTCACACTTCCTAGGACATCCCATGGATATTACTTGACTAGTTTGGGGGCATGAGAAGTTAGTAATTTTTGGAACAATGAGAAAGGAACCTAACCAAACTGAAATACTCAAATTTTCAGAAGAACCAGTCCTAAACCTGGTTTCATGTAGTTTTGAATAAAAATTGTCATTGCATTAGAAAAGGAAAGATAGTTTTTAAGACATGGATAATCAAAATGGCAAAGTAAAGTTGCAAGCCTTTAAAATATTCAATAGAAACAACTAAATTAAATCACATTAAGTATATCTGACATGCAACTTTATGTCCCACTTTTTAGCATATGAATAGCAACAAAAATGATGGTGGTGGTGGAGGCGGTAGTGATGATGATGAAGGAATAGACTTCTTCATTGGATTATATTCTGTATTTTCCAGTTCTTGTCTTGATTATAACACTATCAGATAATGGAAATTTATCTCAGGAGCATGAGCAGAAATCCCCGATAAATCCCAGAAGAGTCTAAAGCTACTATACTGACAGAAGATAACACACAGGTAGTCCTCGCTTAATGACCATTTGTTCAGCAACCATATGAAGTTACGATGGTGCTGAAGGAATCAAAGTTGCAGACTTGCACTGGTCCTTCTGTCACATGATCAAAATTCAGGCAAATATTCAGGTACTTTACAGCTGCAGTGTGTACTTCAAATCCCCCACTTGCCTATCTTACCTTATCTCTGTCTTTTTAGCCACCCTGCACTCCACTGCTGCTGTCTCCTGCTGACCATTGCTGTCTTCTCCTCCCAGCGCTGACAAGGCATGCCTGGCTGAGGCAGCTGTTGGCCTTTGTGAAGCTTTGGTAATGCTTCCCGAAGGCTCTATGCAATGATCGGATGTCCCACAAATGGTCAGTTGATGCCTTAACCAGATGTTCCTCATCAGCAATGAGAGGAAGATCCTCTGGGGGTGGGGCAGTGGAGTGTAGCATGGCCCAAAAGGAAGACATAGGTGGTGAGACAGGCAGGGGGAATTCAAGTGGAGGCGAGCACAGCAAGGTCCTTGTCAAATGACCACAACCAGGACTACCAGAACTGCTATTGCTAAACGGTGCGGTCATGTGATGTTTTGCTTAATGACCGTTTTGCTTAGCGATGGAAATTCCAATCTCAATTGGCATCATTCTCCTACTTGTATTCTATTCAGGTACTAAGGCGGGGGCAGGGGGGCTTGAGTTTTGGTGATAGCCTCTAAAATCTCAACAGAAAATGTTTAAATATTTTTGTGGGCACCTCAGCTACATAGAAAAATTGGTGGTGCTGTGTCATGTTATTTCACTTTTGTTAATACCTTATCTAACACTGAAGGAACTGTTTTAAGAGAAGTTTATGAAATGGTATTAATTGTCATTAATTAACTGCATGGAAAGAAATATTGTTCCAAGGTAATTCTACAATAGCAGTAACATATACCGCTTCACAGTGCTTTACAGCCCTCTCTAAGCAGCTTACAGAGTCAGCATGTTGCCCCAACAATCTGGGTCCTCATTTTACTGACTTCAGAAGGATGGAAGGCTGAGTCAACCTTGAGCCTGGTGAGATTCAACCTACCAAACTACAGCACTAAGCAGAAGTAGCCTGCAGTACTGCATTTGTTAACCACTGCATCACCACAGCTCTTCAGACTGTACCAATGAACATCAGAAGCATATAAAGCTACAATTTAATATGCAACAATTAGCATATTAAATTCACACCCCCAAATTGTATGTTTTATCAGTGTTGGGCAAGCTTAAGACAGCACACATTTGTGGCAGGCTGTATTTTGGGAATAATAAGCCTTATCACCAACAAAGCAATGCATTCAGGAAGTGGAGAGACAGAGTTAGCAGAAAAGATAGATGGGTGAGAAAGTAGGAGAGAAAGAGCAATTGTTTCATGGGTCACTGGCAGTACATGAGTAGTAATGGGGAGGGCTGAGTGAGCTGGCATTTACCCATCAAAGTCTTGGCAATGGCCTCTAGCCTGTGATACACAAGGACTTTTGTTATAATCTAGCTTGGATGGAAGTCACATTCATGACTGGGCCTCACTTAAGTTAAAGAACAACAATCTCTTACAGCAAAAGGGACTTCTGTAAATATTCTACATATGAAGCTTTGATGTTAAAAATATATCCACAAAACATCATTTTCATTCAATGGGGCCTTGTAACTTAACTCAATATAAAGAAAGCAAGGGCATTATGGGGCTGATTTCTGTAATGTCAAAACTATTAGGTAAATAGAGAGAGGTTTCAGGTATAAATCTGGAATTTACTTGATAGGAATACATAAACAAACATTCCCTTCTGGTTTACATTATCAGTATTTAAAACTTGTATTAAACAGATGTAGATCCTGTTTCTAGAGGTTTTTCTTACAATATTTATATATTCCAAATCCCAGATAACATCATAATGACTTTCTTTTCAACTCTAATTTTTATATAATTTCCTGTCATCAAAGAAGTAACCATAGTTTTCAAAAGAGACCTAAACAACCTGTCCATTAAACTGAAATTCTACTGTTTTTTGTCTCAGAACTATAAATTTTGAGTTAAGCCTTAGACTTGGATGCCCATTCCCCCAATATGAGGCCAGGAGGACAATAAAGAAAGTTTTGATTTCATTA